ATTATTCTGAATTTCTATTAATCAAAAAACTAAAAAGTTTGGTTCATAACTAAGTTTAGAAAGTAGCAGTAGATACCTTCAAATGCAGCTTATTCTTGTTAATCTAAAACAAAATGTAAATATATCTTGAATTTCTTCACCTCCTAAAAGAACCAAGTTACCAGTAACTATGTATTTACATTTATGGTGTTTGAAAATACTGTTGTTACAATATCAATGAAGGTTTAAACATATCAGTGATGGTTAAAGAATGCTATAAGTTTACAGGAGTTAAATATCACAGAATCAAAGATAAGATTATGGTAGGTAAGTTCATAGGAAATGAATTAATCTTTGGCTGCAATTAATGGTAAAAGACTTGAATCTTCCATAAAGTTACATTCAAATTTCATATATTTATTAGAATATTATCAATCTCAGCTTTTTTAAGTTCAGTTTATTTTTTCAACAAAGCTATTGTCAGATTTTTAAGATTACCAATATTTGCATTATTCTTAAAATCAGTTTTCAAACAATACCAATACCAAAGAATTTATAACTGCAGTAAGCTTGTTTACTTTGAGAAAATAACTATTCATACTTAAAGTTTCTTTAAGAAAGTAGCTATTCATACTTAAAGTTGCTTTAAGTAAATAGCTAGTTATACTTAAAGCTACTTTGAGAAAGTAACTAGCTATACAAACAGTTACTATAAGCAAGGTTATTTAATCTGAGTGTATACCCCTGTTGTTGAAACTGAGTTTATTTATGCTGAATAATACTGCTCTGACTTACCACTGATTAGAACTGGGTTGATTTAATTGATTATCCATTAGCTGCAAGTACATTGATTAGTATCTTTTGAATTAATAGATTGATGTCATGAAAATAATCAACTAATTGGAATCAGTGTTTCCAGTCATTAGTTTTCAACTATTCCAACATTTGATTAATCAAAATAAGGGTTTTCAATTATTTACTGTTTGTGGTTATTTCAACTAATCAAAATATTGCCAGTATGTGTTTGTTGTTAAGTACAAAGCTACATAATGAGAGAAGGGTGGCTAGTTACTTTGAGGATCTCGGATTTGATTCCCATTGCCACTAAACTTGCTCACCCTATCTTTGTTATTTCATAGCTACTAAGGCTATGTGCTATTGTCATAATTTTTAACTGCTAACTAGAAGGAAGGCAAATGGCTAGCAGTGCCATTTCTAACTTTCTGGCTACTTAAGTGTTAAATAAATAAAAGGTAAATTTAATGCCATTTTTTTTTACATTGTGTTATGTTTCTAATTTCTAATTGTTTAACGTATAATTGTGCATATCCAAACCTCCATTTTATTTTTATTTTTTTCATAAAAACAAAACAAAAACATCCAAATGTCCTTGTATTATCATGTAGTATAAAAAGAAACTAAATTTTAGTGCTTTTATTTGACTGGGTTATTAATTACCATAAAAGCTTCTTGAGATTTTCCAAAATCAAAAGAGGTAGTGTCTACAGCAATCCAAGTAAGGTCTCAGCCAATAACTGGTTATTTCTAATCTAATACAACATCTAATTTAATGTGAACATCAACTAAACATTGCTATGGCAAATTTTGATACTATGGCTTTTTCCAGAGTCCCTATCAATATGTCTGGAATTTGAGATTTCTTTTCATCAAAGTTAGTATTGGTTAGGACACTTGCAGCACTTATATCTTAGACTTGTTATAAAATCAGTTTTTTACTGCTTAGAAGTTAAAAATCTCTTGAGAAAGATTTTTTATTTATTGATGATAATTAAAATGCAAGTGGTATGACTGTATAAGTAATGACTTAAAACATTTTTTGAAAACAGACATCATCTCTACCAGTACTGTTGATGACCATTTGGTTTAGAAGTAAACAGTATCAGCCTTAGGTCTTATCTAACAACAGGAATCACTGTCGAGGACCATTTGATTTAGAACTAAACAGTATCAGCCTTAGGTCTTATCTAACAGCAGGAATCACAGTTGATGACCATTTGGTTTAGAAGTAAGCAGTATCAGCCTTAGGTCTTATCTAACAGCAGGAATCACAGTTGATGACCATTTGGTTTAGAAGTAAGCAGTATCAGCCTTAGGTCTTATCTAACAATAGGAATCACTGTTGATGACCATTTGGTTTAGAAGTAAACAGTATCAGCCTTAGGTCTTATCTAACAGCAGGAATCACTGTTGATGACCATTCGGTTTAGAAGTAAACAGTATCAGCCTTAGGTCTTATCTAACAGCAGGAATCACTGTTGATGACCATTTGGTTTAGAAGTAAACAGTATTTTGCTCTTGATAACTGTCCAAGATAGACAGTAAACGTACAAGTCATTTGAATCTAAAATACAGTATTTTGTTTTTTCTGTTTATTCACTTGTAAGTAATATTTATGGAAATATATCCAGGTATCGACATAAAAAGTTGTACAAAATGTCCAGGATGTATTATCAATAACTGATGTTTGATAACAGTTTTTTAGTACTTGTTTACCTTTTTATAGTTTTACTATTGACTTTTACTTTATACACTTATGATACCTGTTTCTTTTATAAATTGCATCTAAAAATGTATTTTTAGGAATTGTTGCCTTTCATGAAGTCAGTGTTACTGATACAGAAGCAGACAACAGTAGTGACCAAGGAGTGTTACCCCTTACAGGCTCTGTGTTAGAGCAATATGTTTTGCATGTTCGAGAAGCTTTAGGGGTTGAGGTTTTAACTGCTGGTGGAGCTGCAACAATGAGTGAAACTGAAAGTGAAGCTGGAGATTTGTGGCAGCATCATTTGGAGGAACTAGGAGATAAACTTAATCAGGTAAAGAAAATAGAGAGAAAGAGTAACTAACTTGGAGGAGTCAGAAGACAAACTTAAAAATGCAAGTAAAGATAGAGGGTTTAAGTTTTTTATATTTGAGCATTTTGAAGATAAACTTAACATAGGATATTTCCTTCAACCAGAGACACCTCGATGGCAGGGACTGGATGTAAAAAAAAAACTGGGTTTAATACAAATTTAGTGAAACTTATGTAGGGTGTAGCAATAGGATGACATTTGATGATTACAATTTACGGTTTCCAAACTGGACAAAAAATGACCAACTTATAACTGAGTACATCATCAGTAGAAACTCAATGTTCAACAGTAGTTCATGTTGTGTAACTGCCAAATCTATTACATGTGTCTTCTTCTTCTTTGTCAATCAGTGCATCTTTTTTTTCAGACTAGAGCCCAATAAATATTCAGCAGATAACTCCAAACCTTGCTGAGTGTGACTGGAATTTTGCTTCTCTTTGTCATGTTATCATCCGTCACTATTATTTCTTTGATTACCTGCATTTGCAAAGTTCTGAGATCTTTGACTTAAATGGATACAATCATGATACTTTTTCACAGTATTTGTTGAGGCAAATCTATCAATTAAGCATTGATAGTAGTAGTAGTAGTAGTAGTAGTAGTAGTAGTAGTAGTAGTAGTAGTAGTAGTAGTAGTAGTAGTAGTAGTAGTAGTAGTAGTACCCTTCCACTGTATCAAAAGATCAAAAACAAGGTCTCCATCCTCGAGAAGACAATGAAGAAAGGTTGCATAAATATATCTGAGAATACAAAAAAAAAGATAATCAGTTAGAGTGTGTGACCATTGCTACTAAGGTAGTGCGGCTACTCTGAAACTTTGTGTCTCTTTGATTGCTTCTAACTCTTAACTGAAGCATGTTACCATCATATTAATTGTATATTTGCAAACAACAGATTCTGAACTCTCCAACAGTGTATACAACACCTCCAAGAAACAATTGCTGGAATTTCTCATTCTTTGGCCAGCCACCCAAAAACACTGATTCTTGAAGGAGAGACCCCCTGTTAAATTAGCAGGTGATAATAGAGAGATAGGATAACTTGGAGCATATTAGAAAGAAGTTTGAAAGCATGCATGTGAGGATAGAGAGAAAAATAATAACCTGAAGGAATTAGGATGTAAGATATATAAGCAAAAATTAGAAATGTTTATATCAAGGTGATCCTGGAAAATTCAGAGAAAATTGTGGAACTCTCTTTATTTTTATTTTAGATATTACACATGCATGCAAACCACAGTGCTTAATCCTATCCCTACATCCTCTGTGGATTACACTGACCTTGTTACCCCAAAGTAACCATACTATGAATTTTAGTATGTTTCATGTATCTTCACAAAATTCTGCAAGTTCTCCTTAAACAGTACAACTCTTTTGTACATACAATCTAGATTTCTTAATTAAGTGCTTTTACTAAACGTTCGTCTGCGACTATTTGGAAACACTGTTGACTGGTCCAAGTGCAAAAATTTATCATGTTAAGATTGAAAATACTTTCCTGTATCAGAAAATTTAATTTGCTTAATCTCTGAAACCTCCTAAGTAAATAATTTTTTTTTCAGTAAAATTTTATCGGTTATTTTCTCTATCTTAACCCTATAAGCATTCAGTAAATTTGACCAACCTTGTAACCAATACAACAAAATATGAAATAAATCTAAATTACCCTTTTTTTCTTTCTAGAATGACTGAAAATTGTAATAGGAAACTACCATTGTTTATCATAAATAGCTTAAATTTCATAAGAATATACATCTGTTTATACTTAAGTTTTATTGCTCTATGAACTGTGTCTAACTAATAATTCTACCACACTAGTTGTAAATAACTTGGCAAACATGTAGATCACATTACCATATCAAATTATGTAAACCACAAGCTGCTCATGAACATAACTCATGAAGAATGTTTTTTTCCCTTATATTTCCTACTCTAATGAAATAAGTTTCTAAATTTTACATTTAGTTACATTTATAATAAGAAATGAAAAATACACATGGAAAAACAAGAAATAATATGGTACTTACCTGGTTCCTTTTGTTTTTTTGCTGTCAACTGTCATTTAAACTTAAGCCTACTTTTTTTATACTAATGGTACTACTACACTAAATAATTTGTATTTAAATAATGCTGCGAAGAACACAATGATAACATGCACAAAGCAAACAATGTCCTATAACTATCCTAATTTGTTTGGCTTTTTAACTGTGCAATAAGAGCTTTTTTAAAAATGAGCTCAATTTGTTGATGTGAGTACATGAGAAAACTTCTTGAACTAGGGGCGAAATATACAATTCTTTATTCAGAAATGTCATCATTTGATAGAGTAAAACCTTAGCTTAAAACATAGAGAGAACTGTTGGCAATTTGTGAAAGAGGGGATCTGACAAGTGGGCATGGCAAATGGTTTGGATTTTCTAGTTTATGGCTCCGTAAGTAAATAAGATTGAAGGCTATAAAATTATGCTTTGCCTGAGTAATATTTATATTATAATGTGTAATTTATGTTGAATTCATTCTTCTCAGAAGGGTGGTAAATATATAAGGGGAGATTGAAGATTTTTAAAAATCTATAAAATTAAGAGCTGAAAATATTCAAATTTGCTTTAGTAATTATGTTTTGACGCCAAGTTTATTGACATATAATGACAATAAAATAGTTTAATTAAACTTAGAATGTCACGAAAAGGTCAGAACATGCTCACTTTAACCTTCTCGTAGTGAGAGGGTTAACTACACCAATTAGTGGTATATTTTAAAATGATTGTGGTCAGTCAGTCTGTTATTTTATATGGTGATAATTCTCTAATTCATGTGCTTCATGTTAGGTTAGCTCAAATATTCTTTTATAAATGAAAAGATAAAAATGCTAATAAAAATTGATTGTCTGTCATCAAGTTACAATATCTTTAATATAAGTTTAACATAACATTGTACATTTGCTGTTATGTTAAACTTATATTAAAGTTTTTCTTCATTTCCCATTCAAGCCGTCTCCAACCATTATTAGTCTCAAAGTGGGTTCCTCGTCATCGAAATTACAATATCTTTGTCTGAAAATATTTTTCTGGATGTTCTGTTATTTGTTTACCCTTTATAAATAGATTATAAGGTAAAGTGGTGCAAGTTTGGTAGAATTATGAGGAAAAGTTTAAATGTTAGTGACATATGTGTATGCTTGGAGATCTGGAATTGTACTAAGATAGTCAGGGAAAAGTTTTTTTAGAAATAATGTGCCAGTTCTGTAAGTAGTGATCAAATAGCTTCAGATAAGGAAGAAAGGGCTTTCACAAGGTATAGACTAAAATTGTTTTCTTTTGTTCTGTACATAATCATAGTGATTTAAGGACATTTTTATGATAAACATTTAAAATCTCTGAACATAAACTTCCGATATAGTATTTACTGTTGCTACATTTCTTTTGTAGGAGACTGACAGAACTGGCTTTTTAAGGATGGTCAACAGAAATCATATATTCAACAGTAGCAACTACAGCTTAAGTAGTCTCTTTAGTGTTGGCAGCATCAGTGGTAGTATAGCCAGTGGCTCCACCAGTCGCCCAGGCAGCATCAGGTCAAGACGCCACCTATGGCAAGGTCCGGCACCACTTCATGCCCTCTATGATCTTCTTATAGCACCTGTAGAGGAGGAACTACCAGTGGAACCAGAAGCTAAAGAGTTACTTCTTGTTCTTGATGGAGATCTTTATCTTGTTCCATTTGCCATGTTGAAGAGCCAGACTTCAGAGGAATATTTATGTGAGAGGTTTTCTCTAATGGTCTTGCCCTCAATCAGTGCCCTTAAAGCAAGTCAGCGGAAGAAATCTCCTCAACAAGCTAATGGAGAGCAGTTGTTATCACTAGTGGTTGGCAATCCAAAACTTACTTCTGCTGTTTCAGAGCAATGGGGTTTTAATGATATTCCTTATGCAGAACAGGAGGCTAGTTTAGTGTCAGAAATGTTGGGAACAGCAGCAGTAATTGGTAATCAAGCTTCAAAGGAGACTGTGCTAAGCCAGCTGTCACAGGCAGAGTGTATCCACTTGGCCACCCATGTGTCTTGGAAGTTATCAGCAGTTGTACTATCCCCTGGGGAATTCATGGAGTCTTCTGCTCGACGATTTTCTCAAAGCTCTCAGCCAGAAAGTTCACACCAGCAGGCTGAGAATTGTGATGAATTAGCCTCTACTAGTGACATTCCACCCCTCTCAGATTTCCTTCTCACTGCTGCTGACATCCTGAACTTGCGGCTCTGTGCTCGACTCGTAGTCATTAGTTCCTGCCACACTAGAAATCATCATGGTCGTGTCCATTCTGATGGTGTAGTTGGGTTAACAAGGGCTTTACTAGCTGCAGGAGCTCAGTGTGTATTAGTGTCCCTCTGGCCAGTCCCAGACACAGCCATTACAGTTCTATACCGGTCTTTTTATGCTTCTTTGCTTCAGGTATGTATTGTGTATAAGAAACTTTATATTTAATAATAACCATTTAAACTGTGAAACATACCCTAGAATTTGTTGACCAGTTTTGTTATTTCTGTTTTTCTGCCTGAATGCTAGGCTTTAAATATAGGCTATGGTTTGCTGTATCATTGGTATACAATTAGCATGCCAGACTGTGGATATGATCTTCTGCGGTTCATGTCCTGCTCCTGCCAAAAAACAAAATCAGACTACATACTCTGGGACCATGGGTGCATTACAAAAGTGATGGTCAAATTTTGCTACTTGATTAGAGTAGCCCATGAGTTAGCAATGGATAATGTTGACTAGCTGCCTTCCCCTTAGTCTAAAACTTCAAAATTAGAGATTGCTAACATAAATGGCCCTCACGTAACCTTTCCTGAAATTCAATGACAAGAACAACCTTCTCAGTTTCCCATGTAAACCTAAGTTTATTCTTAATTTTTGGATTAAAACTTCGAAAATCTTAATATTCAATTGTTATTTGAAATGGAGATTTTCATAGAAATTTGTTGTATATAATTTACAATAATCATACAGTATGCATATACATGTTCATTGTTATATATCTGGTATTTTCAGCATATGTTTTTGATTTGATACACTTTTTTTGTTATTCAGAAAACCAACATTTAATTTTAAGCTTACACTGATCTTCTGTGCTGAAGTTAAAAGATATATTTTAGCAATCTTTGTTTTCACTGTCATTATGTTGTTACAATTTTGCCAAGCTGTTACATAGAAGAGGTTGTGAGCTCTAGTAAAACACGTAATGTATATACTGTCCAAAACATTCTTATGAAACTAAAAATATCGATATTGGGCATACTTCTTCAAGTGAAAGAATTTCTTCCCGTGTTATCCTACTGGTTTGCTCAAAATAACCCTTTTCTTGAACCCTACTTTATCAGTTTCAAAAGTCAGTTACTGAAGTTATTTCCATACTTAATTGTTGCTACTGATTCTGCTTGTGCTAAAATGATGTTTATAGATAAATGTATTGCTCAAAGTAAGAAGCATATCTTTACTAGTCAGTCATCACACAAGACAAGTACAAAATAGTGATGGCTAGAAACATGAACAATGTGCAACTGACTAAAAAGTATTAACCTTTATACATGCATACCCGTAGTATTAACCTTTATACATGCATACCCGTAGTATTAACCTTTATACATGCATACCCATAGTATTAACCTTTATACATGCATACCCGTAGTATTAACCTTTATACATGCATACCCATAGTATTAACCTTTATACATGCATACCCGTAGTATAACCTTTATACATGCATACCCGTAGTATTAACCGTTATACATGCATACCCGTAGTATTAACCTTTATACATGCATACCCATAGTATTAACCTTTATACATGCATACCCGTAGTATTAACCTTTATACATGCATACCCGTAGTATTAACCTTTATACATGCATACCCGTAGTATTAACCGTTATACATGCATACCCGTAGTATTAACCGTTATACATGCATACCCGTAGTATTAACCGTTATACATGCATACCCGTAGTATTAACCGTTATACATGCTTACCCGTAGTATTAACCTTTATACATGCTTACCCGTAGTATTAACCGTTATACATGCATACCCGTAGTATTAACCGTTATACGTGCATACCCGTAGTATTAACCGTTATACATGCTTACCCGTAGTATTAACCTTTATACATGCATACCCGTAGTATTAACCTTTATACATGCATACCAATCTTTTGTTTCATAGGTATCTTGAAACTAACTTTAAACATTTCTAATATTTCTATTTAATACCAGTGATCTGTTAGTTTCATTCAAATGTTTGTTTGTTTGTCTTCAGAAAATTAATTTTATTTTTAACTTTTGTGTCATATTTGATGGTGAAGTTTTGACATAATGAATTATGTTTTTTAGGGTTCTAGAGTGAGTGTTGCCCTAGCTGAAGCTATGAGGACTATACAAACAACTAAACATTTTGCCCACCCTGCAAATTGGGCCAGCTTTCTCTTAATTGGAAGTGATGTCAGTCTCATCAGCCAGGTGGCTCTGATGGGTCAAGCATTAGCAGAATTGCTGAAGAAACCAGACCAATGCCGAGATGCACTGAGAGTTGTTCTACATTTGGTAATATCCTAAAGATGTGTCCAGACATTTAATATTTTACTAGATGTAATACCAGAATTGCTTGTTTTATCAATCAAATTATCTAGAATAAGGAAAATTCAAGCAAAGAGCATGAAAACTACCACAAATATTTTGCAGGTGGTGGCTAGTATATTATTAACTTGTTTCTAACCAGCATTACAGAAATTTATGTTTATGAAAGGGTAAAGTATCCTTTATTTTTTTATAAAGTAGTTATGACACTAAAAATAATTTAATTTTTAATTATCTTTTTACATAAATAATTATTTAATGCAAAGGAGTATAATAGCTGATACAATAATCTTTGTGTTTATTATTTAGGTTGAGAAGTCACTCCAGCGTATCCACAGAGGACATAAGAATGCAATGTATACAACACAGAAGAGCATTGAAAATAAGGTGGGGTCAGTTGTTGGTTGGAAGGAACTACTGATGTCTGTGGGATTCAGATTTGAACCTGCTTCCAATGGACTTCCAGCTTCAGTGTTCTTCCCCCAGTCAGATCCTGGAGAAAGACTGACCCAGTGTAGTGCCAGTCTTCAAGCTCTTTTAGGTAATATGATAGAGTCTTCCTAAAGTTGATAAATAGATACATTCCAAGTCAGCCAACTCAATATGTAAGTTTCTAATTGAATTGAATTCACATAATAAATTGTTATAATTATAATCAATAAGATTTTCTTTTTTTCTGTTTGAGAAAGTATTGGTAGGATCATTCTTTTTTATCACAGTGAAAGAGTTCTATAATTACTTTGATTTGGTCACTGAAGAAACTGGAAACATTTAGTTTTACTCAATCAAACATTCCACAAATGTGAATTTTATACAAATCTAAAAATCATTACCAGAAAACTTATGGAAATGACCCTGATCCTACATTTATTCTAGAATTTAATAAACCAATTTAAAACTAAGATACTTCAAAGTTATGAATAGAACTAATATTCTTAAAAAGAATCATGTTAGATGTAGATACTTTTTTTTTTCTCACATTTCCTTTAATTAGTCATTTATGGATTTTAAATTGGAGATGTATAAAAGAAGACATTTCAGATTTGTCTTGTCTGTTATTAGTTGCTTCCAAGGAGAAAATATTTATATTCTACATTTGTTTGATCTCTAAGAAATAGAGATAATTACAGAAATTACTTTATTATGTAATCAGAAACAAAAGAGTAAAATCCTTTTTTTTTTTGGTCTCAGGTCTGTCTGCAGTGTCCTTAAGTGCTATCTCTAAACTCTTGACCAGCCCAGTTTATGCAGAAGACATAATAGAATTGGTGAGTAAACTATACATTTATCCTCAAAACTTCATGGTAGACTAATGATTAAAAACATAAATAGTTAAATAGATGGCGGGCAAGAAAGCAAAATATTTATCCTATCAGCTGGTGATAAATGAAAATAAATTAAATTTCTCGCACAGATGCGTAAAGTGATGAATCAACTGAATAAAAAAGACCCTGAACTTGAAAATGTGGAATGTCCTGTGAGTGTTAAATTATGGAGTGTTCCTGGTTGTCATGAGCTTCTGGCATCACTAGGTAAGTTTCAAAAGGTTGCAAGATTTCTCTTGTAATCTTTTCAATTCTTTGTTGAGAGTAAAAAAATGTATAATATTGATCCCCAAGTTATTTGCTGATGATAAAATTAATAATACCCATTGTCAGTTCAATCAAAAGTGAATTATAAAACTTCTTATATTTTAATAGTTGATGAAAATAATGTTTTAGTACATAAAAAATAGAAAATCGAAATGTGCCAAAGTAGGCTGGGTTTCTGATATAGTAAATAGCTTTGTGTTTAAAATGTATGGCAAACTCAGCTTGTATTTCTCCTATTAGCTATGGTTGTACTTAATGTTTGACCTTGCTAAATTCATGGTTATATTGAGTTTGTACCACCATTTGGTTGTAAATTAGTTAGATAACATCATGAATCTGCATCGTAGGTTTTGACCTGATGGAAGTTGGAAGAGATCAAGTGACTTTAAGAATGGGAAAACAGGCCAATAGAAGGATCATACAGTTTGCACTACAAGCTCTATTGGCTGTTTTTGGTAAGTTCTTTGATGTTTATGTTTTTAGGACAAGTGGTATTTGGTTGTGTTTGTGTTGCAGTACATCATTAAGATAGCTTTAGAAGTACAATATTGATGTGGTTTTAGCAGTAAGCTATTAAAGTTGCTTTAGCATTATAATTAACTTGGATTTAGCATTATATTACTAATGTGGCTTTAGGAGAACAATATTAATATGGTTTTAGCAATACACAATTAATTCTCTCAACATGGGCTTGGTTAATTTGACTAACAACGTGACATCGTTGTACTCATTTAAAGTTTATAATTTTGGTGCTACTAACTTTTAATATAATAAGTATATATCTTCACAAAATATGGCAGACTTTCACTAAACATTATAAGTCTTTCACGTAAAAAAAATCATATTTTGTAGTGAAGTATTTTTAATAAAGAAAAGAAATTTGCCCATGAATTTATCCAGTATTTTTTTGTACTAGTCCGCATGCAAAGTTATATTCATGTTAAGATTAAAAGTACTTTTCTTCATCTCAAATTTCATTTGTATAAGTTCTAAAACCTCCCAGATACCTTTCAAATGTTTGTTTTCAGTAAAACTTTCTTTTCATCTATTGTTTGCCTTACCCTAACTTTATACAAGGTCAGTCAACTTGACTGACCTTGTAACCATAGAAAAAAATCTAAATTGCCATTTTTTCTTTCTAGAATGCCTTCAACTTTTTTACATGAAACTACATTCATTTATCTTAAGTAGCTTTAAACTCATAACAATATACATCTATTTATACTTAAATTTTATTGCTTTATTGCCCTTTGAACCTGTCTACTATTGGCACTATTATAAGTTGTAAATCACTAGGGGAGCATGAAGCTCGCATTACACCATGAGCCTCGTGAAACATTTTCATTATATTATTATTTTTCATTTTAGCTAATCTACCTTTAACTAACCTAAAGAGATCCCTATTTTTACATTTTAGTTACTTTTATAATAAGAAATAAAGAATATACATGAAAAATAAGAAATAAAGTGCTTTCCAGGGTCTTCTTCTTCTTCTTTTTTTTTTTGACTTTGACTTTCTATTGGTTAAAAATAGTTTGGACATTTGGGTATGGCAAGAGGGGTCTGATTTTCTATTTGATGGCTCAGTAACCAAATAAGATTGAAGACTATAAAATTGTGGTTTGTCTGAGAAATGATGACTTTATAGTGAGTAATTTACATTTAATTTTGTACTTATTGGAGGGTTGTTGAATAAGATAGAGAAGAGAGGATGCCTAGAGAAAATATTTCATATTTCTCATACAAGGGTAAATTCAGGATTTTTTAAAAATATTACCTTATAAAATTAACAACTTAAAACTTGTATACTATTAAAATATGAATTATTACCCATGATTTTATGCTATACTAATTGGTATAACATAAACAAAAAGTAGTTTAATTCAAATTTAAGTCAATAAAATATTGTAATATGCACAGTTAAGGATGGCTGGGGTGAGAGGGTTAAAGTAGCTCTAACAGTCCAATATTAATGTGGCTTTAGCAGTACAATGTTAATGTGGCTTTTGCAGTACAATATTAATGTGGCTTTAGCAGTGCAATATTAATGTGGCTTTTGCAGTACAATATTAATGTGGCTTTAGCAGTACAATATTAATGTGGCTTTAGCAGTACAATATTAATGTGGCTTTAGCAGTACAATATTAATGTGGCTTTTGCAGTACAATATTAATGTGGCTTTAGCAGTACAATATTAATGTGGCTTTAGCAGTACAATATTAATGTGGCTTTAGCAGTACAATATTAATGTGGCTTTAGCAGTACAATATTAAGGTGGCTTTAGCAGTACAATATTAAGGTGGCTTTTGCAGTACAATATTAAGGTGGCTTTAGCAATGGAATATTAATATGGCTCTAACTATACAATATTAATGTGACTTTAGCAATGGAATATTAATATGGCTCTAACTATACAATATTAATGTGACTTTAGCAATATAATGTTATTGTGGCTTCTGTGGTACCATATTAATTTGGATATAACATTATATTATTAACTTTGCTTAACAGTAAATTATTAACCTGGCTTTAGAAGTACAATATTAACATAGAAAGTTCACAGGTGAGTGTTTATTATGATGAGATGTAAAACTAATTTAACATGATTTTAAACATTATTCATAAAAGATAGTTATTTGTTTGAAAGAATGACTGAAATATATTTATATGCAATTACTTTAGAATGTTGCTGTAATATAAAACTTGGTGTATCATACTACATAACATAAATAGAAATTTGTTCAAACAAACTTATATTACCACTATATGCCTAGAAATAGAAAGTCAACTCTTCCTTCATTCTACAGACACTCAAGAAGCTGCTAAGACTCTTCCTATTGAAGATTCTAGTTCAATGGAAAGCCTTGACTGTGAAGCAGTTGAATCTCCTCCTCCCACCATCCCAGCTCTTCCATTCCCCCTGAGAAGACAGGGACCAATCATTGGTCAGAGAACAGGAGCTTTTACCAACTATGTACGCACTAGAGGTGAACCTGATGGTCACACAAGTAATAGTGGGAATGATCAGAAAAATCGTGACAGTGACACTTTTACTCCCAGCCCAGTAGATCCTGTGTCCAAACCTTATTTAGCAGGAATACAACCCCAAAAATCCTCACCCCAGCCCAGTCCTCGTGTAGCAATTGCTCTGGCTCACCAAAACCACATAAAATCTATGTACAGTGAAGACAGCCCAACAGGGGAAGGACTTTCTAAACGACCAGACAGCTCCTCATCAGCCGGTTCTGTGACAGACTGGGAGGGTGGTCAGTCTACAGTGCGAAGACAAAACATCTGCAGGGAAAGTGTACCTCTGAGAACTCATTGTGCCTCTAGTGTTGGCTGCTACCAGAGAGAAATTTCAAGCAGTACCTTAAAATCGGAAAAAAAATTACAGCATATATCTGGGATGGAGTCGCAGTGTAGTGACTCTGATCCTAATGATTTTAATTTACAGTGTACCTTTCCAGATATTTTAGGAACAAGTAGACTTGGTTGGGGAGGAAGTAAATTAAGTGCACTTCAACCCTTGTTTGAAATAAAGAGTCAGCTTCAAAGTTTGTCTACTCATGATTCATCTATTTTCAGTTCTACCTTAGCAGGTGACTCTAATGATGAATCTTTTACTGCTAATGTGTTAGAAGTTTCTGTACCAGCTAGCTTCACAAAAAAACAGGACTCAGGTTCTGTCATCTATTCTGTGCGTTCTATGGAAGAAACAACAGTGGGACGGGGAGAAACTCTGGAAGAGAGATCCATTCAAAATCACATCTTTAATACCCAGCTCAGACAGCTCAGCCGTGATCCAGTTATTTCAGATGTATATCATGATCGTAGAGTAGGTTTAGGCTTAGCTCCTTCATTATCAAAAATTTTGACAGCAGCTTGTGATCATGGTCTCAGTGAACATAGAGACAACGAGTCCCAATCACATGACTATCATGAATATGACTCTGTTTTTTCTTCTCCTCCTGGAGGGACAGGTAAAAAAATTCAGCTTAAATCCAAGCCACCTGTGCCCCCTAAGCATTCAACAGCAGCACGATCTCACAGAAAGAAGAGCCATAGTCCATCACGATCAGAAGCTAAACGACGAACAAATACAAGTTGCCAGTCATCAGGTTCACACATAGAAATGCTGCTGAAAGGAATAAGTATAGCTGATAGTCATTTAGGGACTAAAGAGGTACGAGATGATGGTGATGGAGGATCAGTAACAGAAATAAGCTGCCCAAGTCAAAGAAAAAAGGGGAGCTTAATCTGCCCTCACTGCGAGTTTATCCCTCTTTTGTTCCATCTCAGTGGCATGATTCCAGACAAAAATATGGAAAGGTCTTGGAAGAAAGTTTATCTGACTCTCAGGGAGTTAATGACCCTCAAACACAAACATTGTCTATTTCTACTGTGACACACAGTGATGCCACTCTTCAAGGAGGTCTGTCACATTCAACTGACACTGTGACACATGGTGATATTACTCTTCAAGGAGGTCTTCTGTCGCACTCAGCTGATACTGTGACACACAGTGATGCCACTCTTCAAGGAGGCCTTCTGTCACACTCAGCTGATACTGTGACACATGGTGATGTTACTCTTCAAGGAGGTCTTCTGTCGCACTCAGCTGATACTAGCAGGAAAACAGAAAGCAATGATGTTATTGAGAGTTTAAGTTCAGATGGCAGTGATATTGATAGTAATTCCTCTCAACCAGAAGTATCTACTGTTAAACGTAACCCAAAACATACTATAACTCACACTTCGAGACCAAAAAGTACTCCTGAGAGAAAATCTCTGGTTCATTCTTCAAGGTGTTGACGACAGGTAAACTCAAAATATGTTTCTACAAAGATCTGAGTGTTTAGCACAAGTATTGGTGTGCAGTACTGTCACCAGCTTTAAAGTTTGAATATTAAAAACCCATAATTCATCAAACTGAAGATATTTTGTACTGTTTTTATTGGATAACAGTTATCATTTTATGTTTGTTGAAAAAATGAATTATTCCATGTTGTTAATATTAGTGAAGGATTCTAAACATATGGCTATTATCCACCACTTTCATGAATGCGAAGTTACTGCTGTGAAATCTCAGTTATCAAACTTTTTTTATTTTGGAGCTGATTCAGAGGAGTGATAATCTCATCTTTAAAATTGTGTAATCTAACATCTTAAAAAATACAGTAAAGTGTTTTGCATTTAAGCTGTTACTGAAAACAGTGTTTACTGTACATATAAATAAGTAAAATGTATAAAGTATGTATTTTGCTAAGATTAAATTTTTCAAAGAAAACTTCTTCCAGCCGCAATAAATTATTTGTAGGTTTTGTGGTATACCTGAGTTATAGGTTGACAGATCATGTTAGATTACGAGATGTTGGATAAAAACTGACTTTTCTCTAAAGATTAAAAAAATATATATTTTTGTACTATACATATACACACACATCTATTTTGTGCTCAGATTTATTTGTGTAAATATATATATATATATATATATATCAATTTTTTGTCTGATTTGTTGGTTTGATAATACTTGATGAGAAAGTGAATTTTTCAATATATGTTAAACTAATTTTGTACAGTTGTGTAGTAGCAGAAAACGTGGGTTCATGTGTAGTGTGAACACAAACAGCTGCCACAACATTTGTTTATAAAGTCTGTCACTAGATGGCTTTTTACATGAAAGAGATTGTGAAAAATGTATTATTTACAAATGACAAGAAGCATATTCTTATTCTTAACATGTTTCAGGCATTTTTTTAAGTGCAAATAGTGTCTTGTGTTTTACTGTGATAAAACAGTTATAACACTTTCAGTAACTTGACTTGTTTGCAAAGAAACATATACTTTGAGTACATATTAGCTGTTTTCTTTCATTATTGAAGAACTAGCTTACAATAACATTCCAGGACTATTTCTTTGCAATTCATTCCTAAACAAGAAGTATAATATGTCATTGCGTAAAATGTTTTTATTTTGTTTTTTTCAACTGTGTTATGATTATGATCAACTATAAATAAGTAATTACTTAAGCATTCTTTCTTCAAGTGAATTTCAGAGTTATACAGTAATTCTACTTTAACGGCTTCCAACGATATGGACATTTGAAACTGCCCTTAATCACGTAACCTTTGTAAAAATATTCCAGTGCCAAGGTAGAGCTAGAAAAGTTTTAATATTTCTCAGTAAAGTTCCAATCTTATCTCAGTCCACTAGTAAAGCATAAAATAAAACTCCCAACAATATTTGTAAATCACAAACTATAGCAACAGTTGTAAATATAAAAAATACAGAATTCCAAAACAATTCCACTTATCTCTCTGCACACAGGAGCTATTTATCATGCGCCTGTTGTTGAGATTTTGTGTACACCACAAGCCTTAAACTATCTCCCACCTAAACAACGTGTTTTGATGTGAACTTCACTAGGACATGTTGTAATCATCATGTAGCAGTAGCCCTCCACCAATAGTGGGGTGACACATCCTCTAAGCACAGTAGATCCCCATAAGCATTTGCAATCATAATTAACTTCACTCTTAAACTCAGCACTGCCATTAACAGATGTGTTTAATTTTCCTCTTCAGTTTTGAAAGACTTTGTGCAACATTTGTGATTGATTTGACGTAATAATCATTAGTATCATAATTACTGTCTTTCTAAGTATTTCATTCTGTCATTATACGCCTTTTTTATGGGGCTTCTGTCTCTTCTACTGCTGGCTATCGAGCAGCTATGTCCAACACTTTCCATTTTTCAAGGTACTGTGTTGTGTTTTTCTCTCTTACTGTCCCCTTTTATGACAATCCTTCCAGATTTGTCGACCTCCTCGTCAGGTGGTTTTTTTCCATTATTGTTCTTCACTATCTCACACTACCTTTGTTTGAACATTTGGCTTCCTGTTCCCTGTATCATCTATCCCTTATAACTTATTTCCTCCTTCTTTTAGCCTGTGGCTGTCATCGATTTGAGATCTTTGCCATTGATGTTTCACATACTCTGTTCCATTCCACATATGTTCTCTTTTATCTGGATCAATCTTTCCAGCCCAAAACTTTGACTGCTTGTGGGGGACATTCATAAATTTTCTTTCTCTCCATTACCCTCCCTTGTTCTTGATCTCGTCCAGATAGACTTCTATGTCCAGTTTGTGCTCTTTGTTGTTATATTTACTGCACAGCTTCATTCCAGGGTTCCCGATCCTGCCTTTTCATTCCTTGGAACCTTTCTCCTTCCACCCTGACAGATTGGGTTTGTCAGCTTATTAGACTGGCATATTCCTCCCTGTTTCCTATTCCCCATAATTTGTTCCAGGTGTTGTTGTACCAGATGCAACACCTTACCTTTTCCCTGGCATCATATCTCCATTGTCCATTGGACGAAATTCTTCATCTCCCACTATCTCATCCTTCAAACATTGGGTCGACTGTGACTTGGAAATTTATCCTTTTCTTTATATTCCTTTTGCTTACAGTTGCATATCCCTTTTAGCTCTAGGATCCCACTCATTGGCAAGCATTTCCAGTTCAAGTGTGCTATTTCTCTATTCATTTCAGAAATGTGCAATGTGCAGCCAATCATAAGTCATACCAGGTTATATTATCTGCTGCCTAGTAACATAGTCCCTCCACCTCTGTACAGTGGGTCCTGAAATTTTTATGTCGTGCGGTCCGAGCTCTGATTGTTCTGCAGACTGGTTATTTGAGATGTTCTGCTGAGGATACATGCTCTCCAGCCTCTGTGCAGTCCCATCTGAAGGCTGATGTTGCACAGGTTACTCCTGGGTACTCTGGATGCTCCACCTTGTTAGGGTTGGGCCCTAGAGGATGATGTTGTGTTGGGTAGCTTGGCAAGAGTTGTATGTGATGTCCCACCAAAGTTATCATTGGGCGGAAGCTCATCCCACCAATCTCGATGTATACCCATGGCCAGTAATGCACACTGTAAAGATGGGGTGTTCCATAAGATAACTAGTAGGTTTCCTCATGATAGTTTGCTACTTTCACATGCCCATTCCAGACTGTACTAACACAAAGACTTTCATGGGTAAAGCAGAAGGAAATTGCTACCCATTCCTGCCATCCCTTCTATGGAATGGGTGGTCTACTTTTCAAAATAGGATTTCATCCTCACCCATTGTTGACATTCCCCTGGACTCTTTACTGCATTTCTCCCCCTAATTTCTTCTAGTGGAGTAGAGAGTCCTTGCCACTTTCCAGTTCCCAACTGCTGAAGTAGTGGACCATGGATACAACCTCCTGAATATGTTCACTTCCATTCTGTAGACAGTAGGGTGGTAGTACTCTGCCTGTGTAGTTCGTGCAGATCCTCCACTTGTGCACTCCACTTCCATGTGGTGACCCCAGAGATTGATGTTGCACATAAATTACATAGTATATTTCATGATCATAGATTTGCCACTTTTTAGTTCATTCTTCCAATTGAAATCCCTCATTCTACCATCAACTGGACGTCAGTTTTCAGTAAGTGGTTTTTGATTAGATCTGGATCATTCACCATAATTCCTCGCATGTGTTGATCCTGATTCCTCATCCTACCTTGGTCACGTGTTTTTGTCTCATGTGCTCCACCTCTATAAGGTAGGTCTCATGGGTTGATGTTGTGCAGATCTGGTTTGATTCACCTCAGCTCCATGGTTGCTCGAGGTGTTGTCCGGTCTTCCCTGTGCTCTAGCTTCTGGTTGTTCCTATCCAGAGGATGATATTTCTCTGGGCAAATATTGTTCCTTTGGCACTTCACCTCAGGGAGGTTCACTACTAGATACAGTGAAACTAGTCCATTTGGTTTTGGATTTGAAGTAATCTACCACAATGACACATCCCTTCATATTTGCGTTCGGATGTCGGGTTCCCAGATGACTGGTATTGGTTGTGGATTTGAGCCCATGCCTTGTTTAGTAGACCGATATGGACAATTTCTCTTTCCATTCTACTCAACTTGAAGTGAAGATGGTGTGAACTCTCCTCCAACCAAGGGTCAGATTATGTATGTCCGATGCTGCCTGATTTTGGACAGGAGTTGATTGTGAAATATAGTCTGTCGTGCCCTAACCACTCTACACCAATGGACACATCCATTTTAGCTTTCCACACCTTCTGAACTCTGGCTGGGGACCCTACTTTCATTCCTATACTCGACTAAGATTCCAGTGATTTATATGGGGTTAGAACATCCAGTTTTTTTTCTCCCAATAGTTGGATGTGCTTCACCATATTTGTGCACTTTTGTAGGCACTTTTTTTGTTCTTTAATAACCTTCGGATCTCTTCATGGCCAACCATTAGGTCTCTCAGGCTCTTACCCACTGTCTCGCTCTTCAGTTTTGTTCTTTACCTCCTCTTCCCCTTTCCCCTATTGTTTTTTCTCCACCTTCTGATCTTCAGTACCTACACCATCTTGAGGATGTAATGTTGAAGCTCTTGGGTTTGAATGCCATAGAGTGTGTCACTTGCCCCTTTCTGGGTACTGTTCCAATCTCTTTTTTATCCTCTTGAATCCTGGGGACTGACATCAC